CGTCGCGAGAGTGAAGGAAACGATGAGACGACGGGTGGTAGAAGTGTCAATCAGACGAGTCGAGGGGGAAACCTAGAAAAACACAGGGGACGGTGCGGGCAGTGAGCTTGTCCGTGTCAGAGGCACGAACGTGAGCAAGGCAGCCCGAAACGTGGAACGCAGACGCGTCACCAGGAGATCCGGTCCAGAGGAGAGTCGGCGAAACCTGCGGCCGCTGAGGGTGAGGCCACACGTTAAGCTCGTGGGCGGCGTAGCCAACGCGCACGGCCACAGAAAATGGGGTGCACCGGCATGGATCATGGATGTACAAGCCACCTCCATGACCAAGCCGATGCGTCGCTTAGAGACCCCATTCTGCTGCGGGGAGTCTGGCAGGGTGTACGTCTGGGTGATACCCTCCACACGACAGAAGCGACCAAGGCAGCCAGAGGTGAACTAGCCACCACGGTCGGAGAGAAGCCACACAACACAGGGAGACCTCGGTGCACACGCGCAGAGAGAAGCCACGGGATAAGAACGTCGGGCACGTCGGCCTTCCGCTCCAGTGGAAACACGGTGGTGTAGCGAGTGTAGTCGTCGACACGCACTTGGAAGTAACGCTCACGATGTGGCCCATGGACGGGGGCGGGATCCCAGACGTCCATGGTGCAGGGTCTGTAACGGTGCGGTGGTGGGGGGGAACAAGGAGGAGTGAGGGGCACAGCGGAGCCGGTTCTCGACGCATGGGGTGCACGGAGGCGCTGCCAAGGGGGGAGCGCAGGGAACGACGCAGGGAGACCAAAGACAAGACCGTGCTGAGACATTTGCCAGAGACGTGTGAGGACGGGGTGACCTAGGCAGTGGTGCCACAGCAGCGACGGGTGAGTAAGCGACCGACACGAGCAAGGCGCAGCAACCTGGGTAGACGCTGCCACCTGGGGGGGCGTCCCAACAGGGGGGACGCGGTGTCCAGCGTGAACAGGCCAGACACCGGGTCCTGGGGGAACGTGGTGAGGGGGGCACCAGTGGCAGCCTCGGTACAAACAGCATACCTCTCATGCCCAGGGAGCGTAGTGGTGACGCCGAGGTCCTGAAGACAGCCTACACCAACTAAATTCCGAGAGAACGAGGGATGTGCAGGCCTGTAAGAGAGCCCAAAGGAACTGCCGGACAGGGGAGGGTGGTGGAACTACGGGCGACTACCGGATCTGAGGAAGGGTCTGTAGGGCAACTACGGCTGGGACGGCAAGCGGCGTAAGCGTAGTGTGGTCCCGAAAGAAACACCAAGACGCGACAGAGTCGAGAGTGAAGAAGAGCGCGGCAGTGGAGGCTGGAGGTGGAGGAGCTAGGGTGGAGCCAAGGCTAAACAAAGCAAAGGGTCCTACGCCTGACGTAGCAGGAGAGCCTACACTAGGCACACTGGGCACACCTACACTAGGCAACACGGGGTAATGGGAACCAGTCATACTAGAGTCATCGACATACAACACATACAAAGTAGAGCTAGTCTTATCCATGTCCATATCAAAGATCCTAACACTACGACGGAGGAGACTGTGCCAGTCGGGGAGGTCCGGCGCGGGGCCGAAGTGGAGACGAAACAGGTCGTCTAGGCGATTGAAATAGCGAGTGGGGGTATGACCGGTCTTACCGCACACGAGGTCGCGGCGAGGACCGGTCAGGAGCTGGTACTTGCAGCGCCCATCACTCGCACTACCACCCGACGCTGACCACGCGCACGACCACCGCGACCACCACCACCACGCCAGGCCACCTTGCCGGGAGGCGGCCGACCCTCTGCTGCAACTACTGCTACTGCGGCTGCTGCTGCCCACGCTGAGGCGCCTGCTGCTGCTCCCGTTGGGGCTGCTGCTCCGAGGCACCAGCCCCAGTCCCCTCGTCTGTACTACCGCCAGCGGACGAACTGCCTCCAACACCACCTCCACCCCCGCCGCGCCCAGCCTTGGGGCGGCGAGCCTTATCATAACGGGACTGCGCTGCTGCCACCGCAGCAGCGGTCTCAGCAGCAGGGGCTTTCTCAGCTACAGCTGCAGAACCGTCAGAGTAAGTGCACTAGGCGGGAGCACAGCCGTGAAAGATAGGGACCGGCGCAGAACCGCTAGACTGGGCGATAGAGCGCTGACGGGTCTCTATGGCACACAGGGTGTTGACAAAGTCGGAGAGGGTGAGGTCAGCAGGGTGCAGACTAAGAAAGTGGTCGCGGGAAGTGGCAAGGCGGTCGGTCAGGCAGGTGGCAAGCAGGTAAAGGGTAGAGCAGATAGGGGGTTGGAACACACGAAGCTGGGCCTCAGTGCAGGCAGCGCGCCAGCTAGCGTCGAGCGTGCGCAGGTGCATGGCCAGGTCAGCGACAGTGGGGAAAGATGCGAGATCAGAGAAGAGCATGGGAAGGATCAGGCGGCCGGCAGAGGCAGAGGACGGGGTGGAAAAACGCTCGACAACAGCCTCTAGGAACTCCTGCGCAATCCTGACCGACTTAAAAGCGGGGGCGCTCAGACAGTGGGAGGGCATGGCTAATCGCGAGCTGAGCGACAGCGTCACGCGATAGCCAGACAGCACGGGCAAGGGCAGCAGCGGCGGCGGACTCACGGTCAGCAGTCGTGGGGTTAGCGGGGAGAGCAACAGGGGGTCAGGGCAGGGAGCGTACCGTCAATGTGGACGGCTAGGGAGTGGCCGTCCTGCCGCTGACCAGTGAGGTGACGGCGGAGATCGACGAGCCAGGAGTCGAACTCAATCGGCTGACCCTCCGCGTCAAAGCGCAGCACGGAGTCCGCCATGAGGGATGTTGCAACCGCGAGCAGACGGCGACAGAGTGACGAGGAACGGTGGGAAGGAGTCCTGTACGGTAGAGTGCAGTGGGGCGCGATGCAGTGCGGTGCAGTGAGGTGGGTCGCAGTGAAGTGCAGTAGGGCGCGGTGCAGTGCGGTGCAATGCGGTGCAGTGCGGTGCTCGGCGGTGCGGCACGGTGGGGCGCGGTGCACACGGTAGAGAGGGCAGGTGAAGCGGGCGGGACCGGGAATTACGGCGGCTGAGCAGTTGGGAGACGGGGCCGCGGGGCAGCTGGGCGACGGGGCTGCGGGACGGCTGGGCGACGAGGCCGCGGAGCAGCAAGGCGACAAGGCCCGGATCGGCTGAGCAGTAGGGTCGCGGGGCGGCTGGGCGACGGGGCCACGGCGCGGAGGGGCGACGGGTCGCGTGGCGCTGGGCGACGGGGCCGCGAGGCAGCTGGACGACGGGGCCGCGGGGCGCGGCTGGCGACTGGGTCGCGGGCAGCTGGGACGACGGGGCCGCGGGGCGGCTGGACGACGAGGCCGCGAGGCGGCTGGCTACAGGGCACGGGGCGGCTAGGCCGGGGGGCGGCTGGGTGCTAGGCGACGGGGCCACGGGTCCAGCGGGGCGGGGCAACGGGGCCGCGGGCGGCTAGGCGCGAGGCGACGGGGCCGCGGCTGCTAGGAGCTAGGGAGCGGGGCCGCGGGGGCTAGGCGCTAGGTGACGGGGCGCGGGGCACGGGCGGCTAGGCGCTAGGGAACGGGCCGTGTGCGCCAGCAGGGCAACGTGGCGTCGGGGCCCGTGGAGCGGCTAGGAGCTAGGCGACGAGGAACGCTAGAACTACGGCGGAAGCGCGGGTGGAGGGGTGGGACCTAACCTACCCATGATATGATCTCAGAGTTAGAACGATGACTAGAATGAGAGGATACAGTGGTATATAGCTAGTGGGTTGTACTCTCTATGGCAAGACCCTAAGTAGTCTACTACACATGCAGAAATATGTTTGACATGATCCAGCATCATATTTTGCTAAATCAGTTTATTCAATAATCATTTTTCTTTCACGACCTTTAGGATGTGTAAAACCAATATGTGCGTAGCACCAAAAACAAATCCATTCAAGATAGGCTATATACAGCATCATCTCCTTGTCCTTCCAAGAGAGCATGGCAAGGAACACATCCACCACACATGCCTGAGCATCACAAGCCAACCACTAGCATGTCACAGTCGGCTCTCAAGCAAATCCACGACAACCGGCACTGACCAGGTCAATTCTGCAGGGTCGACAACAGGGGAGGACACGGGGAGCAGGTCATACAGTCTCAATAACACAAGAATCATATGCCAGCGTCGTATCCCCTCTCGACCATGCGTTCTACCCTTCCCTACCCACCATAGTTCACAAACCCCTCACAGTTCATCACCTCACGCGTCTGACTCCATCTCCGGGCGAGCTGCCTCCTCCACTGCTCCCCTCACTGCACCTGCTCCCCCACTGCTGCCACCTTCCCCCCTGGCCCTGCTGCTACTGCTGCAGACTCCTCTCCCCCCCTGTTGCAGCCACTGTCTGCTTCCCCCCTCCCACTGTAGCCACCTCTCCTTCTCCTGCATCCCTGCCACTGCCTGCTGTCTTACCACCCCACCAGCACCACTGCCAGCAACGCCAACGCCCCTAGCACCACCAGTAGCACGCTGGTAGCAAAGGTGTGCTTGCTCCCTCCCCCGCCAATGAACCCTCCTGTGACCGTGCTCACAACACCCTTCGCAGTTTCCTCTGCTCCTTCCAGCACCGACAGCACAGTCTGCCTGCCCCTTTCCCGCGAACTTCTCTTCCTCCCTCTCCCCTCCCATACCTCCCATCCCCATCCTCTCGCCCTCCCCTCCCTCAACCAATCCTCCAACCACCTTCCCTCCACCCCCTGCTTCCACCATCCTCCCACCCACCCTCTCACCCATACCCTCCCTCACACCCTCAACCATGCCCTTACCTTCTCCCTTACCGTGCTCCCCTCCCAGCCCCACCAGGTGTTTGGCCCGTTCCACTAACCCTGTCACTCCTCCCGTTGCTCCCTCATACCCTGCCTGCACGCCCTGCTTCGTCCCCTCATACCCCCTCTCAATGCTCTCCCTTCCATACTCCACACCCCTCCCCACCGCTTCCATTCCCTCCCACACCCCCCTCTGCCCCTCGCCCAGCACACTTTCCCCCGCTCCAACCACCGTTCCCCCCACTGCCCGTGTGGCCCCTAGTGCTGACTCAGCAGCGTGCTTTGCCACGTCAGCAGTACCGCCCACAACACTCTGCACCGCCCCCATGGCACTACCCAGTATTCCCTTGCCAGACTCCGCTGTATTCCCAGAAACTTCCTGCCCTCCACTCACAGCTTCCCCAGTTGTTCCGCTTCCTCTCCCCCCATGCCCCCCCCCATGCCTCCCCCCTGCACCAACCCCTGCAGCTTAGGACCCGTTGCCTCAAAACCTTTCCCCCACTCATCCCCTCAACCCCCACCCTCTCCCCATAGATCTTCTCCCTGTGCCCCTTTCCCCCCAGCAGTCCCCCCGTGAGCACCCCCGCCACGCGGCTGACAGTCCCCTCCACCCACTCCTCCGCCCCGTGGAGGGTCTCATACGCCTGCCTCCTGCCCCTCTCCCTCGCGCTCTCCTCCTCCCTCTCATGCTCCATCCTTTCACCCTCCCCTCCCACCACCAGGTGTTTCATCTGCTCCCCAACCCCCTTCACTGCACCCACAACCCCCTCCCTCCCCCTCCCACCCTCTCCCATACCCACAACCCCCTCCCCTCCGCTCACTCCCTCCGCTCCTTCCCCCTTTCCCCCCAGCCCAGTCATCCGCTTGACCCCTCAACCACCCCCCCCACTGTCCCCTCCACCGCTCCATACCCCCTCCCAGCCACCTCCTCACCCATCCCCACCACTCTCCCAGCCACACCACGGGCAGTTTCAGCTGTAGTGCCCACCGCCCTGCTTGCTGTATCAGCTGTAGCCCCCATCGCCCTGCTTGCTGTAGCAGCTGTAGCCCCCATCGCCCTGCTTGCTGTAGCAGCTGTAGCCCCCATCGCCCTGCTTGCCAGTGTCAGCAGTCGTTCCTGCAATCCCCTTGGCCGTCTCTGCTGTGGTCCCCACAGCCCTCCTTGCCACGTCAGCAACGCCTGTCACAAGCCCTGCTCCAGGGATTGTCCCAGCACCAGCTGTACGCGTTTCAACTCCAGTTTCATCCAGCCCCGGCACACGTGTCTCATGCCCACTTCCCACACCACCACCACCAGTCCCCCCTGCAATCCCCTCTAAAGCGCTCTTTACACGTTCCTTCCCTGCTTTGTATGCAGAGGTCTCTGCGCCCTGCTCACTCCCCGGCCCAACTCCAGCAGTGGAAACCCCAGCACCACCCGGGATGATAGGGGCAACGAGGTGTTTGGCTCGCTCCATCACACCACCCTCACCACCCACCCCGCCCCCCACTCCAGTCGTGGGAGCGCCAGCCGCAGCACTGGGGACAATGGGAGCAACGAGGTGTTTGGCTCGCTCTACCCCCCCACCGGCCAGCTGCTGCCCGGACTGCAGGCCCGCTTGGGCCAGGTTTCTTGCTTGGCGGTACCTGAGGGTGAGGAACAACGGGAAAGGGGGGCTGTTTTACCAGAAGCGACAAGGTGCTTGGCTTGTTCCACCACTCCCCCAACCAGCTACTGCCCTAACTGCAGGCCTACTTGGGCCAGAGCCCTTGCTTGGCGGTACCTGGAAGGAAGGACAGCGGAGTTGGATGATTTTTGAGGGCCTCATTTTTTAGACGATTTTTGAGGCGCCTCATTTTTGAGACGATTTTTAAGGCGCCTCATTTTTTAGACGATTTCTGAGGCGCCTCAAGCATCGGTAGCTGGAAGGAAGGAAGGAAAGCGGAGTTGGAAGTGGTGAGTTGAGTACCAACCAGTTGACTTCACTCCGTTTATACACCAGAGATACACGTTTTATCAACCAAGGTACCCAGGAAGCTTACTGTGATTTAACCAGAGATTTATACTCGCTCACGCCCTCACCAAACCTGCTCTTACCCTTGCTCCAGCGTGCCTGTCACTCCCTCCCTGGTCGTTAAAACCCCTTCTCCCTCCGCTGTCCCCCTCCCGCCTCCACCCACTCCCTCCACCACTCGCTGCCCACCACTCCCAAGCCTCTCCACCATCTCCCTCCCTTCTCTCCCACACCTCCCTCCCTCCCCTCTCCCTCCTCCTCCTCCTCCTCCTCCTCCTCCTCCCCCTCCTCCACTGCGCCCATCCACTTGCGGTACGCCTGGCGGATCACCTCACTCGCCACCACCCCCACTTCCCTGGCCTGCTTAGTCGCCACTTGCCCAGCCTCCTGCACCACTTCCAACGCCTTCTCACCCAGCTCCTTGCCTTTCTCTGGGGCACGACCAGCTACCTGGCCGGTTACCTCCCCTGCTCGCCCGGCCATCTGTCCCGCTCGCCCGGTTATCTCCCCCGCCAGCTGCCTGGGGATTTCCGCCCCCTCCTGTGCTGCTTCGTATGCCTTTTCTGGTAGGGTGTCCTTTCCTGTCGTCGCCACCATTTCCGGTCGCCCGGCTTCTCGCATCTCCTGTTCCTTCGCCCTCATTTCACGCTCTGCCTGCTCGCCTCTCTCACCTGCCCCTCCCCACCCACCACCACTAGTCACACCAACACTCCCACCAGAGCCCATACCGGCCAATCCCTTCACCTGCCCCTCCACCGCCCCCAGTCCTCCCTTCAGTGCCTCTTTGCCCCTCTCGTACGCCCCCTCCTCCTGCCCCTCCCTCCCAGTGCTACTCCATCCACCCACACCACCCCTCCCTGCACTCATCTCTCCTCTCCCCCCACTCTCACCCCCTCCCTCTTCAGTCACACCACCCCCCGTTTCACTCACGCCTGGCCTTCCCACCCCCATCACCCACCTGCCAGCAGACTCAGCAGACCTAACCCCACTCCAACCACCCCCCTCACCCCCCCTCCACCCTCTCCCCCACACTCCTCACAGCCTCTATCCCCCTCTCATACGCCTCCCCTGACCTCGTTTCCCCCTGCTCACCAAACGGCACTCCAGGCACCCACCTACCAGCAGTCTCCGCCACTTTCCCACCCACTTCCTTGCCCGTTTCCAGCGCCTTCTCCCCTAAGCCCTTCCCAGTCTCAAACGCGCTCTCAGCAACCCTAAACCCTGTACCCGCAACACCCTTCGCCACACCCGCGCCTGTCTCTGCAGCACGCTCCGCAGCACTCAGACCCATCTTCGCCATACTCCCCCACGTTTCAATCACCCCTTCGCCCATCCTCACCCCCTGCTTCCCCGTTTTAGTCACCAACCGTTCAGCCCCCTCCACTCCCTTTCCCGCCCCAACCTTCACCTGTCCATATCCCCCCTTAAGCACCGCCTCTCCCTCCTCTGCCACCTCCCTCGCCCTCTCCCTCCCGTGCTCATACGGCCCTACCCCCATGGTTCTGCCCGTCCCAATTCCACCTATCCCCTGCTCCTCCCTCCCAATGTCCCGGATCCCACGCCCCTCCATTCCACGGTCCCTGCCAACATCCCCATGTCCTACCCCCATTCCACGCCCCTCCATACCACCCCCCCCCATTCCACGCCCATGCCTCTCAATCTCCGGACTCCTCTCCAGCCCATGTGTGCGAGACGCGTCCTCAGGCATCCCAGTGGCGCTGTGAACGGTTGGGGAGGAGGGAAGGAGCAGCAGACACGAGGGCAAATGGGTTATGGGTTCTTGCGTCTCAGGGACAATACGGCCCATGCAGCTCAACTCCTGCACTCCCCTGGAGGTATCCCCAGAGGCGCGGTGTGAGGGGAGAGGGGAGCAGCAGAGAAGAGCAAACAGCAGAATCTGGGACCAATCATTGGAACAGGTGTTGGAAGAGCGATGATTGAGTAAGGTGTAGCACGCACAGCTTGCCACAGATGAACCCACCAAGGGGGCACCGGCCTATTAGCAACACACCTTATGGTTGACGACGTTTCATGCGGCGTCACTCCAACTCCCCTGGCCAGTCCTCCGCCTGCTGCCGTTTCATGTGGCGTTACATGTGTGGTTCCGTGCGCACGTGTAACTCCACCAGTACCGAGGGGCTCTTCTTCCTTGCTGTACGCCTGATACGGCTGAGCGTATGGTTGACTGAACGGCTGAGGGTACTGCTGCGCGTACTGCTGCTGCCCGTACGGCTGACTGGGCTGACCGTATTGACCGTACTGCTGACCGGGTTGACCGTACGACTGAGTGGATTGACCCGAAGGCATCCCCGTGGACTCAGGTTCGATGGCTCCTGATGCCACCATCTTCGATTCCTCGCCCTGACCCTCGTCCTGCAAGCAAGCACGCGAGAGGGGCCAAAACGAGAGGAGAGGAGCGGAATTCTGAGTAGATACTCCAAAAGTTGGATGCATCGTTCTTGATGCCATCATCTTCGGTTCCTGGCCTTTGAGACTCGCCCTTAAGGCAAGAAAGAGAGGCTGGAACGAGAGAATAACAGGGGCTGTCACAGCTTATGTAGTCGGCTTTCGTGAGGAATGGAAGAGAGGGAGGAAAGACGGGGAAAGGTCAGAAAAAGCGGGGTTGTCAAAAGATTGTTACCTGGCCAGAGACCTTCACTTGGAATCGCTGCTGCTGCTGGGACGCCATCGGAATTAGGTCCACAGGAGTGTCGGATCCGCTGCGAGTCTGCGTCGTAGAAAACACCTGAACGTAGTGAATCGGAAATTCGGGATACGCTTGCAGAAAGCTTCTGGACCGATCGGAGGCTGAAGAAACGGAACACGTCTTCTGAGAAGAGGAAACGAATTTGGAGGAACTATGCGCGTCTGAGCTCCCGCGTCGCGCCATACTGGGCGGCGGGAGAATCTGTTCTGCGCTTACGGGGCTGGGAAATGCGGCGCGATAATTTAATGTTGCATGGGATTCCTACGGTCTGAAGGGAGAGTGACCCTGTCTGGGTATGCACATGTTTACCACGTGGCACAATTTGTGGGTTCTTCGACAGGTGCCGCTAATTAGCGGCTGCAATTGTACTCGCTATTGGTTTGATTAAAATTTCCACTGAACACGTTCGAAACACCCAACGTATGCTACATATATTTTCAATCGGAGTTTGTTGGTCTTCAACGGGGGTGTAATGAACGCGTTGCGCACGAGTGGCTTCGCACTGCTGTTCGGCAGTTTCGCAAGGCTGGCCGTTTCACGTGCCAGAGTAACCTCTCCGGACGTTTCGCGTAAATTGTGAGAGGACGTCCTTTGACTAACTGGAGCCACGTAGGTACACACGTGGTTGGCTATCCAGCGCGTGAAACTTCGCACGCTCCGCGAATGGGATTGCTTGCTTCGCCGTGAACTCGGCACCTTTCCCTCCCCGCAGCGCCCGGGAGAGCGGATCCATCAGACCAATCGCAATTACAGGTGTCCAGACCTTATTGACTTAGCCCTTTTTGCGCCTCGATCCGATCTGACCTGGCGTCTTCGAGCCTGTAATTGGACGCAACATGTTGACAGCTAGGCGGCAACTATCAGCTAGTTCTATCGCAAGCCCTCGCGAAACTCCTCATCACCAATCAAAAGCTCGCGAATCCATTCGACGACCCTCGTTTGGAGTTTCGCATTGCAAGCCGCGAAACATCAATCCAGAAGACCCACCAGCAGTCAGAGAGCCTTTGGGAACGCCGCAGATCTGAACCAGCCACTAGGAGGACGGGATTACAAGCTGAATGGATCAGTCAGTGAATTCGGGTGGATCACCCTGTAGCTACTGAATGACTGCTGCTGAAATCACTTCACTACTGAATGACTGCTGGTCAGCCAAGTTATTATCGTTCTTGTAGACACTGAAACAGAACACCAATTCCCAGACACCAACTGAAAGTCACGCAGATTCAGTAGGCCAGTGCAGCTGCTCGTCAAAATCAAGGATCTGCTCGCAGAAGCAAGTAGTTCTCAATCCACGCGACGGTACACGTGACTCTCGAGACAGGCCATTGTCAACTTTGGGTCGGCCATTCACCCACAATTCCAGGTCTTGTTCCTGAAACTCTCAGGATCTCCCTTAACGTCGAATTCCTTGCATTGTCCATCTACTCTCAAGATGGAGACTGGAGCAGCACGTGCAGCTGTGGTACTTTCTGCAAATGCGTTACCAGCAGCGTTGCATCGGCAATCCCGTGTCACCATCTCAAGTCCAGCGACCTCCTTCCCGAAGTGCAGCTTGCAACTACTTTCAAGCTCATCCAGCGAACTCCATTCAGAATCTTATCGCCTGAATGCGTCTCCAATCAGCAAAAGCCGGTCGAGCAGGAAAGCCGGTCCCGTCAGTGCCAGCGCAAGCTCTGGTCACCATGGACCGGCAGGCACGCGAGACCACAAGCATGATGAGCAGCATGGCTCCTCCTCCCCCTCTACTTCCTCCTCCTCCTCCTCGTCTTTCTCCGCCTCGTCTCAGCATCGGGTGCCTCACCCGGTGAGCGCTGGCGCGACGAAGGGGCCGGGGTCGGCGTCGATCGCGGAGGACAAGGAGAAGGCGTCGGCGAATATCTCGGTCGGCGCGCTTATGAACGAGGCGGAGCGCAACGACGTGAACTTCGCGTGGGAGGCGCTCATGCGGTGGGGGAAGTTCTGGCGCGTGAAGGAAACCGAACACGCGCCGGAGGAGACGACTAAGGTGAGAGGGTGATTTTTTAGTCGACTCAAAAATCACCTACGGAAGTTCTGGCGGGTGAAGGAAACCGACCACGCGCCGGAGGAGACGACTAAGGTGAGACAGTCGACTAAAAAAACACCTACGGAAGTTCTGGCGCGTGAAGGAAACCGAGCACGACTAAGGTGAGAGAGAGTACATCTTGAAATGGCATTATGTGAGAGAGAGTACCTCGCGTGGATTCGGAAGCCCGGGGTTACCAGGAAACGGCACGCGAGCATTCCGTTGGCGAGGTGAAGAACGAGGCGGGGAAAAACGACGTGAAGAACGAACGCGTGGGCGGCGCTTATCCAGTGGAAGAAGTTATGGCGGTGAAGGAAACCGGGCACACTTGGGTGAGAGTCGCCCTGTAACGTAACTGATACAATGGCAGCCAAGTCCAACGTGTGAAACTTCCTTCGGAGAAGACGGCCTAAGTATGAAAGTGTAAAACCCTGGGATACCGTGGAAAGTGTCAAACCCTGGGATACCGTGGAAAGTGTCAAACCCTGGGATACCGTGGAAAGTGTAAAACCTGGGATACCGGGAAAGGCAAACCTGGGATACCGTGGAAAGTGTCAACCCTGGGATACCGTGGAAAGTGTCAAACCCTGGGATACCGTGGAAAGTGTAAAACCTGGATACCGTGGAAGTGTGAAAGTGTCAAACCCTGGGATGTCTAATAGTGTGAAATGCCTCGGAAAGGAACAGGGTGAAACTCTGACAACTTAAATCACTGGCTAAGGTGTAGAATGCATACTCCACCTGACAATGCCACGTCAGCATGCTGCACCTGACAGTGCCACGTCAGCTGTGTGTCTAGTGAGAAAACTAAAACATCGTGTACGTGAACGTGAACCACGGAAAGTAACTCTTTCAAACTGACTTGCAGCGCTGACAGCGCAGAGCAATGCCTTGTTCACGAGAAGTAACTCTATCCAGAGTTCACGCTCATGTCGTGATCTCTCACCCCCCCTACTTTCTCGCTGCTTCCTTCCGCCTCGGTTTTTTCGGTTCCTCCTCGTTTCCGTCCTTCGCGTTTTCACTGATCGCGTATTTACCGGTCGCGTTTCAGTGGTCGCGTATTTACCGGTCGCGTTTCACTGATCGCGTATTTTACCGGCCGCGTTTTCACCGTGCGTGTCTTCTTTGGGCGTGTCCACTGTCCTCGTCTTCGCCAGGTCGTTATCTTCGGCGGCGGGGCGTTCGGCACGGCTCTGGCCCACATGCTGGCGCGCAACAACGCGGATCTGGACGTGGTGATTCTGCACCGCTTCGAGGAGGACTGCAAGAACATTAACGAGCTGCACTGTAACAGGTACGCCACTCGCACCCCCCCAAGGACAAAATACCCGACAGACAGACAGGTACGCCATGTGTGACTTCTCGCGCATCCCGAGAGGCATTCTGCGGTCTCCTCACCGAATACCCGCGCAACAAGTCCGTCTCACCGTCCGCGCGATCTCCGTCTTCAGGCGCATGCACAGGTACGGCCGGCCTGCACAGTGCCTGCTGCACCGCACTGGCCGACCCTTGTTTATCGTCGGATCGGCTTCCTCAACCAACACCCGCTGAACAAGTCCGCGTCATTCGCGGCAATGTCAAGGTTCACCCGGTACTTGTCAGAGTTGTCTCACCGGCCGCGTGTTCTCCGCCCTCTGGTTACGACCTACACGATGCCTGCCTGCTACACCCCACTGGCTGACGCTTGCTTGTTTCCTGCTTGGCGCCGCCTGCTTCGCCGATTCTCATCTCCGAATCAATCCGTGCTGGAACTGCCACGTGTTGAGGCGACTCAAAATCAGGCGGGCCGCCATCCATCTGTCCGTCCATCCCTCACTTCCTCCCGCCATCCATCTGTCCGTCCATCCCTCACCTTCTCCCCCACCTCCCCCCCCCCCCCCCCCCCCATCCATCTGTCCGTCCATCCCTCACTTTCTCCCGCCATCCCCCCCCCCCCCCCCCCCCCCCCCCCCCCCCCCCCCCCCCCCCCCCCCCCCCCCCCCCCCCCCCCCCCCCCATCCCTCACTTTCTCCCGCCATCCATCTGTCCGTCCATCCCTCACTTTCTCCCGCCATCCATCTGTCCGTCCATCGCTCACTTTCTCCCGCCCCACTTCCCCCCAATCCCTCCCCTCCCCCCCCCCCACGTCCCCCCCCCCCCCCCCCCCCCCCCCCCCCCCCCCCCCCCCCCCCACCCCCCCCAGTGCGTGCCATCCGGGCATCATTCTGCCCGACAACGTGCGCGCCACCACGGACCCCAAGGAGGCCATCACTGGCGCGCAGTACGCCATCCACGCCATCCCCGTGCAGGTAAGAAGGGAGGGGGGCAAGAGGGGGGGGGAGGGGGGGGTTAAGAGGGCTGAAGTTACATGCTAGGCGCGCAGTGCGGGGGGAGCACGCTATTCACGCCATTTGAGCTGAAAACCCAGCAGATGACTCTCGAGTCAGCTCGCAAGAATCTCCCCCCCCCCCCCCACCTTCTCCCTCCCTCGTTCTCCTTTGTTTTAACTCCCTTCCTGCACCCAAGAACCGCCTTTCTTCCGTCCATAGCAGCGCGCGTGCCGCCCACGCTGCCCATCCCGTGCGTGAGCAATGCGCCTTAAACATGTGTCGACTCACAATCCCCCACCCTTTCCCTTTCCCTTTCCTTCCTCTCTCTCTGCAGCCGAGCGCCGCCTTCCTGAACTCCATAGCGGCGTACGTGCAGCCCACGCTGCCCATGCTGTGCGTGAGCAACGCACCTTTAAACAGGAGTCATCTCACAGTCCCCCCTCCTTTCCTTGGTTCCTCCCCTCCTCCTGCTTCCCCCCTGCAGCCGAGCGCCGCCTTCCTCAAGTCCGTAGCAGCGTACGTGCCGCCCACGCTGCCCATGCTGTGCGTGAGCAACGCACCCTAAGCAAGTGTCGACTCACTCTCCCTTTCCCTCTCCTCTCCCTCATTCCTCCCCTCCTGTTTTTACATCCAGCCGAGCGCTGCCTTCCTCAAGTCCATAGCGGCGTACGTGCCGCCCACGCTGCCCATCCTGTGCGTGAGCAAGGGCCTGGAGCTGGGCACCATGGAGATGATGACGCAGGTCATTCCCCGTGGGCTCGGCAACCCGCGCCAGCCCGTCGTGATCCTCTCAGGACCCACATTCGCTGTGGAGATCATCCGCGAGCTGCCCACTGGTGAGTGCCCAGAGTCAGCTAGCCAGTCAGTCATTAGGCAGTCAGTCATCAGGCAGTCTGACAGTCAGTGAGCAAGGGCCTGGAGCTGGGCACCATGGAGATGACGACGCAGGTCATTCCCCGTGGGCTCGGCAACCCGCGCCAGCCCGTGGTCATCCTCTCGGGGCCTACGTTCGCTGTGGAGATTATTCGAGAGCTGCCCACGGGTGAGTGCTGAGAATCCATCAGTCATTCATTCAGTGAGCAAGGGCCTGGAGCTGGAAGACGCCTACTGGTGAGCGCTGAGGCACCTGAAGGCTCAAGGTGATTGGACCTCTTTATGTGGTAAAGACCTACCCCTGGCAAAGAAGGCACTGCAGCAGCTGGCGAGTTTGCCGGGAAGTGCTTCCCACTCCTTGGCTCGTATCCATCCCCACCCCTCGCTCTCCCCTCTCTCCCTTCTCTCTCTTCTCTTCAGCCCTGGTGGCTGCCAGCAGGGGCCTTGCACTGGCCAAGAGGGCACAGCAGCTGCTGCCAGTGTGTTTAACACAGACCCCTCCCCCTTTTCTCTCTCTCTCTCTTCCCTCTCTTTTTCGTCTTCCCTTCAGCCCTGGTCGCGGCCAGCAAGGACCTCGCGCTGGCCAAGAGGGCGCAACACCTACTGGCGTCGAAAACCCTGCGAGTCAACACCTCCACGTACGTTTCGAGATGCCTCGGAACTAAACTACTTACACACTAACACCTCCACGCTCGTGCGCGTGTCCAAGAGCAGCTGCTTTATCAAGGGTGTATGTGTGCATAAACATTCATGTTTCTTATGTGGGCATGTGTGCATTTCGGTTGGTTGATCATACACATACGCGCGCCAACAGTTGCGCGTACGTGTGCATATTCTGTCAGTCGTACACACATCCATCCACATGATCCTCCGATCCGACCTCTCGTCATATAGCAACGTTGAGGGAGTGGAAATGGCGGGAGCACTGAAGGCGTGCTGGCGATAGCAGTGGGGATAGTGGAGGGGCATGCATGCTGTTGGGGGGTCCTCTCTGAGTTCACTTCGCCTCAAGATCCAGCCCATCCCCTTCCCCTTCCCCATCCGCCGCACTGATGTGGTCGGGGTGGAGAGTTTTGAGGCGCCTCAAAACTTCCCCATCCGCCGCACTGATGTGGTGGGGGTGGAGATGCTTTTGAGTCGACTGAAAAGCGCACGGATGTGGTGGGAGTGGAGATGGCGGGGGCGCTGAAGAACGTGCTGGCGACAGCAGCGGGGACACTGAAGGCATGCAGCTGCGGAATACATCTCAAGGTCGACTTTACCTAATTTTATTCCACCCGTTATTCTCCTATCCCTGACTCCTCCCCTCCCAGTGATGTGGTCGGGGTGGAGATGGCGGGGGCGCTGAAGAACGTGCTGGCGATAGCAGCGGGGATGGTGGAGGGCATGCAGCTGGGCAACAACTGCATGGCTGCGCTGGTCGCCCAGGGGTGCTCTGAGATTCGGTGGCTCACAGAGAAGGTGAGAGAAGTGGCGGTGCACATGCCAGGCACGTTAAGGGTTGGTAGGTAGCAGCGGGAACAGCAGCTGAGAGTAGCGAGAGTAACAGCTAACAGGGTTTTGGGGTTTAGCGGAGGGCATACAGCTGCACTGGTGGCGCAGGGGTGCTCTGAGATTCGGTGGCTGGCTGAGAAGGTGAGAGGAGTGGGGTCGAAAACCTGTGCTGCTGGGCATGTCAAAGAAATGACAACAGGAGGATAGCAGGAATCGTGGAGGGCATGCAGCTGGGCAACAAACAACTCCGAGGTTCGGTGGCTGGGTGAGAAGGGTGAGAGGGGTGAGAGGGGTGAGAGGGGTGAGAGGGGTGAGAGGGGTGAGAGGGGTGAGAGGGGTGAGAGGGGTGAGAGGGGTGAGAGGGGTGAGAGGGGTGAGAGGGGTGAGAGGGGTGAGAGGGGTGAGAGGGGTGAGAGGGGTGAGAGGGGTGAGAGGGGTGAGAGGGGTGAGAGGGGTGAGAAGGCAAGAGGTGCGAGGACACCCTGGCGTCCGTGAGCCAGGTGGCGGGGGTGCGATCTGAAAGCTCTCCTGGGTTGGCAGAATGTGGGGCCTCAGAAGGTGGCGCAGGCATTCCCATGGGCCTCTCCTCCGTTCACCCTTGCGCCCCTCCCTCTTTCTGTGCACTTGTTTCCTGCCCCTCCCCAAATCATGTGTTTTACCCCTGAATCTCTCTCCCCCCCTCCCCCCCGTTCTCCTCCTACCCCTACCCCATATCAACACCACAGATGGGTGCTAAGCCCACCACTTTGGCTGGACTGAGCGGCACGGGTGACATCATGCTCACGTGCTTTGTGAGCCTGTCCCGCAACCGCACCGTGGGTGTGCGCCTGGGGTCCGGGGAGAAGCTGGAGGACATCCTGGCGTCCATGAGCCAGGTGGCGGAGGGTGTTGCCACGTCGGGCGCGGTGATTGCGCTCGCCCGCAAGTACCGCGTGCAGATGCCCGTGCTGACAGCTGTTGCGCGGATCCTGGAGGGCAAGTTGGAGCCCAAGGAGGCGGTCATGGAGCTCATGAGCCTGCCGCAGGTGAGGCTGGGGGGCTTGCTCTCTGATGGTTTATTGGATGGAATGGCGTGTGACGTAAAGCAGTGTAATCGCTGGTGGGGATTTTGGAGGGCAAGCTGGAGCCCAAGGAGCCGGTCATGGCCCGCCGCAGGTCAGACGAGCTGTTGTTGCATTTGCTTCATTCATTCGTCTGGTTCAAGACACGTGTGCTGGAGTTGTGGCTTGTAAGCACAAGCATGCTCTGGGTTAAGCAGAGAGGTCCTCCTTTTATCTGCTTTTGCCGTGTTGCAGCTATTGCATCCGTTTCAGCATGTGATTCTCTTCGTGTGCGTGTGCCCCCTTTGACATTGGTGGCATTTGCTTTTAATTCTCAGGTCGAAGAGAAGTAGGAGCGGGAAAGCTCTCCTGAATAATTTGGAGGCACCAAGGTTAAAGATGGCTTAGTTTGCGGTGTGGTGACAGCACACCCATAGGAGCTATTTTTCAGAAGGTGGCTGGATATGAGTGACATCCAAAAGATGGATGTTGCACGCGGAAGGACGAGTAAGTGTGTGTTAAGGGGCTAGTGTGTATCATAGATTATGCTCGTGGCTACTAGTTAGCACAAGCATGAGTTGTGAGGCGGTCTGAAGTGTTTTCCTGAGTGGCTTTTTTATAACAGCTGTGTTTCCATCAGGCCTCTTGATATCCTAGGGGTCACCCTGCAGTTTCCGAGTTTGCCCGAGATGCAACTCGTCCAGGCTGGGTAGCCCAAAGAAGTTTGACAGTTTTTGCAGGCAAGAGTTTCGTCAAGCTCGGAATAAGCCACTCCTGACAATGACAGGGGGATGATTTTTTACTAGGGGCGTGAACGTTTACATTAGATTTTACAGGGCGGGTCTATCCAGTACTCTGAAATTGGCCGTGGGATAATTCTGCCTTACATGTCCATGTACGGGTATCGATATTCTGAATGCGTCAAAAGCAGGGCTAGGTCATAATTTTACCCTGTTTTCTTTGACAAAGCAGTGTAATTACCCTGACTTCCAGAGGCCTGGTTTCCATACTCCTCGACTGAATGCAGCGCCGCCATTAGCGGACTGTACACCTGACGTCCAGTAAATTTCCCATTCATTAGATGTCACGTGTTTTTATACAGGTCCATTAGTTCAAACGCACGGGAAACTGCTCAATTGACACAGGCCCAAAGATTTGCAACTTTACCACATCTGATGCGGAGGCCTCCAAACGTGCAGACGGGACGTTCTCAAACCTTACACTGTTGCCCGAGAAACGCAGAACAAACAACAATGGTCACCCGCTCTAGACGGGAAAATGCCAACGAGGTAACCAGACTACCCTATATTGGCCCAATTCACCCGTGAAAGTTATGTGTTCGACTCTGGAGCACCTGCTCGAAGAAAATGGGTTAGAAAAGGACTTCATGTGTACTTCGTGCATGTTCACGTGGTGGTGCAGGGAAATGTTCCAAAAGCGCGTGCATGTTTGTTGTACTGTACTGTTCGGTCTGTCTTTGCCTTGGCCTGTCGTCACGTGGTGTACAGTACCGTAGTTGCCAGCCCCTGACGAAAGCAATCTGCCCAGAACAAAACAGTTGTCCATAAACAGTGCAAGTCAAATTTTGACAATTGTGAGTTTCAGAGCTGGGACGTCGCGTGGGCAACTTGTCTCGTGCATGAGCGATGCTTTGTACTGTAACCTCGTGTCAGTGTTTACTCTGGGCTGTCCTCTTCAAGGTCCCGTCTGCCCGTGTTTACCATTTTCTGATTGCAGGCTTGAGCCGCGTGCAGAGATTGTCAAATATTATAGAAAAAGCCGTGTACACAGTTTCCTGGTTGCCACTTATTTCCTGGTTATCGTAGTAACTCATTCGCAACTGAGCCCCCGCAACCGCATTCCGAAAATGAACAACCAGGAACAGAAAAAAAGGTAGTGGCTTGACGGCAAAGTCTGGAGTGGAGTGATTTGATCCTCACCACCACCGAATCGGTTGGTGACGTCTCCACTGGGCATTCACCACTCGGTAAGAGGCGTTTCAGTTTGGTGGAAAGATGCAGCAAGGCCAATGACCTCATAAATGTGCACGATGTCCACCACAGTAACTCTTGATCAGCCTTGGTGCAATCCTTGCCGAATCAGCAACTTGACTGCTTGCACGGAAACGGCAGTTGGCTGTTCTTTGGTTTGTCGCGACTCGCGAAGGTTCATTCGAATCGCGGGGCGAGCGCGAATGCAAAGCGGAGCAGTCCAACGGGGCTCGCTTGCGTGGCGTTCGTGCATTCGTCTGACTGATGCACTGCATGGAGCGAGGGCTCCCAAACAAGGTGGTGAACAAAAGTTCCAACGTGCGCAGCGTCACTCGCGCATTTCCGCTGTGGAGCTTAGGTTTGCGCAACCCGACTGAGTTGCGCAATCTGGTCTGGTTATGCTCTTCGCAAGCGACTGGATGTCTCGTCGCAAACTTGTCTCCGGGAAACAATTTCGCCAACACCTCAACCAGTTGCGCAACCCTAGTATCCACGCCCTAACCTCCCTCCAGCCAGAACGCGTGACTGACTGACTAGCTCCCCTTCGGGCTAGGTGACTCTGACGCTAGGCAGCAATGCTGCTTCACTAGAGTACATCACTTGCGAGTGGCATTTTGTATTCGACTGCCGTTCGCGGCAACTATTTGATTGTCACTCGAGCACTACAGTACTTAGGCGAAGCCAGGCTCCAAGAGTGATTACGCGTTCACTGGGATTACGAAACTGTGCGCCTTCAGGAGGGTTTGGAAGCGGGAACCTCAGAGGAATCTCTATCCCCGTGAAGTCCTCACTGGACAGAGTGGAAAAGAAAACCTTACTGACTTTCAAATATAGTGCCACCTTACTAACATGGCCGTGGGATACTGATAAATGCACCCTAGAAGCAACGCAGGGGAACTTCCTCGAACGCTCCGTGGCGGCGGGAACTCACATCGAAGACGAATGGCGCGTCTCGGAAAGGCGGGGCGGGCGAGCTTCAGAAGGGTCGAAAAGGCGATCCGGGAGGGCTGCGGGAGATTTCAGAAGGCGGTCGCTGTCGCGTGCATCGAGACAGCCCGCGCCGCGGAGCGTGTGCGATGCGTGGCGTCCACGTTCTTGTCGTCCGCGGGCTTGAAGCGCGCCCGCCGCCGTCGTTCCGCCGCGGCATCCTCCGCCGTTCCCCGTGTTTTCCCCGCAGTCGCCGCTCCCCCTGCCTCCCCCGGCGCGTACTGCGCAAACCACCACCCTCCGCCTCCCGCAGCGGCATCATCGTCGGAGCGCATATGGCGCACGAGGCTGCGAGGCCTTCCGAATCCTTTCCCCGCAGCCCGCTCTGAAACAAAACCATTTCGCTGGCGTTTCTCTTTCCGCCAGGGAAGCGCCAGCCGCGGCAAGAGAGGCCAGAAGGCGCCATGGCTGCGAACTCCGCCCTTCTCGTCCGGCACTTCGTCCGGCGCCCCCGCCGCCTGCTGCGCCGCCTCCTCTTCCGCCGCTGCCTCTTCCGCCGCTGCCTCTTCCGCCGCCTGCTCCTCTACCCCCGTTGCCCCATTGGATGACTCTTCCTCTGTCGCTTCCTCCGCTTCCTCCGCCGCCTCCGCCTCCCCCGCCGCCTCCTCCGCTAACTCCGCCGGCGCTAACCAGCCCGCGTCTTCCACGTCACCCACCGTCTCCACGTGCTCCTCATTGGCTAAAAACGCCTCCTCGCCTTCCCCCTATGCTCCGCCATCTTTATATCCCGCCAATAGTACTAGCGCTGACTTGCGCGCCGACCGCGCACCCGCCGCCGCTTCCTCCTTTAGCAGTCCCCCACACGCTCCGCGTGCTTCCGTAGAGGCCGCTTCTCTCGGCCAATCTCACGCCGACGCTCACGCCGCTTCTTTTGCCGATTGTCACGCCGTTAATCACGCCGAGGCTCACGCAACGCGCTCCTCGTCGTGGAAGCGCGCCATGTCGATAGCGATCCCCGCATGCGACGGCGGCGACGAGGCGCAGGGGGCGGGGGAAGAGGTGGGGGAGGAGACGCGTGAAAAGGCGGGGAAAGGGGGGGATAAAAGGGCAGAGCCGGTAGCGGGAGAAGCGGCGGAAGATGCGGAAATGGCGGAGTGGAATGGCGGAAGAAGCGACGCGGACTCTGCGGTGGACATCGATTTGCTGTGGGAGGCAGCGGCGGAGGCGGAGCTCCAGGCGGAAGAGCATGCGGCTACGGCGGCGGCCGCGGCGGCGGCTGGGGGGAAGCGATGGCGAGGGATGAGGAAAGCAGTAACGCCTAGGTCTATCGTGGTGACGCCGCCTAGGTCAGATGTAGTAGTAACGCCTAGGTCGACTGAAACTCCGAGATCTGCTAAAACATTGAGATCTGATTTTCCTACCGCTACGCAAGGAGCGCAAACATCGCAACTCACGCCGAGGGGGTTCGCTTTGGACTCGAAAATGGGCTGGGGCGCGCTGGCGGAAAGTGCGGAGAGGGCGGAGAGAGCGGGGGGGAGTAACGGAAATAATGTTTCCCCCGCCGCCGCTAGTCCCCGACCTCCAACCACGCCTAGGTTTTTCTCCGCTCTCCGCGCGTCGTTCAGGCGCTCTGCCCCTGACGCTGCGACTGTGGTAGTCGCGGGTTCGAATCCCAGCAGCGCAACTCCCGTTCTTACTATCACAGCCACATCAGTTGATCCAGGCCAAAACCTAGCAGCAAATCCCGCTCGTGAGGTTGCTTCGCCTACCGGTAATACCCCATATGAGCATCATCGCGATACTGTTGGGTGCAGCAACGTTCACTGTAGAAGAAGCACTTGCACCATCCTATCTACACCCCATAACAGCCTCGCATCTTCCAAAAGTGCCGAAGGCAATGCCACTGGATCCATCTCCAACCGTTATTTTTCTGATTCTGTGTCATCTTCCACCATTTCCTCACCCTCCATCACTCCCTCCCTTCGCGTACGCCGAGGCCTAACCCCCCTCGAAAATCCTGGCACCGAGAAACGGAAGCCACGCCAAGCAAGGCAGCTGAAGCTGCAGGCTCAGAATGGCGCCAGCGCACCTGACTTCCGGGCTTTCGAGTTAGCTCAAGCTTCATCCAGCCAACGCAGCAGCATGGTGCCTGAGCTGTTATCTTCACCTAGCCTACGCAGCCACGTGGCGCATGACCTGTCATCTTCCTCCAACGTCCACAGCAGCAGCAAGGCGCCGGAGCTGTCATGGGATCAGCTGTCTGCGTTTGCAGCAGGCAAGCTGGAAAGGGGGAGGCCTGGGATAAATGGGGGCCAAGGAATGGGTGTGGTAGAGTGGAGTGTGGTGGAGGGAGGGATGGCAGAGGGACGTGTGGTGGAGAGGGGTGGGGTAGAGTGGGGTGTGGTGGAGGGAGATGCAGAGGATTATCTAGATAGCCCTGCGGTGGTGCCTGCTCGCTCCTGCTGTGGGTTTGGACGGTACCCAGCACAGCAGGACCGGCAACAGCTGTGGCACTCGCAGCAGCAGGAGAAGGCGTGGCAAAAGCAACAGCAACAGCAGCAGCAGCAGCAGCAGGGGCAGCAGGAGGAGGAGGACAGGGAGCAGCAGGGGCAGGAAGCGGCGGCGGAGGAGGAGGAAGAGCAGGAGTGGTTTCAGGTTGAAAAACAACCTGGCTGTGCTGCAGCAGTGATGTGCTGCGTGCCGTTTTCAGTGAGTCGGAGAAGTGGCGGCCCCTCCTGTAGTGGCAGGAATCCCAGCAGAAGGAGTGAGAGCAGCAACAGACAACCCAGCAGCAGGAGTGAGGGCAGGAGCAGGCAACTCCACAAATCCCACAGCTTCAACAATTTGCAAGTGTGCGTGCATCACAGCAGCAACACTAGACAGTTCAGTAGGAGCAATAGCAGCAGCAGCAACAACAGCAACAGCAGCGTGAGCAGCAGCAACTGGCTTCTTGCGAGAACCGAGCACACTAGCGATTCCGAATCCGTACAAGGCATCTCAGGGGCACTGTGCTGCGTGCCGTTTTCAGTGAGCCGGACTGGGAGGAAAACCGATGCATCGTCTGCAGATTCCAAGGCGCGCCCAAGTGGGCCGGCAACACCGAGGGGAGCAGGGAGCGGTCGATTGGAGAGAGCGGGGAGTGGCGGAGCAGCCACTGTGGTGCGATATGTGCCTAGATTTGCGAGGCACAGGCAGCAGAGCTCTGTAGTGAGGGGACTGGCCAGAGGGATGGTTGGTGACCTGGTGGGGGTGAAAGTGACGGGTGAGGCTGTGATGCCATGATAGAACACGAGAAGCCATGTACCGATCTATAGTTGGAGATTCGTGCGCGGAATTTGCGATTCGGTGATGCGCACACCTGTGCTTCTATGTGATGTTACAATTGGCGGCTTCTGCAAACCTCGAAACAAATACCGCATCCTCCTGGATAGGCGCCCCCCCGGGGGATAGGACCCTGAGTCCTTCAATCAGCTAATAGGGCTTATGCGCATAATTTGATTATAAGACCCACCTGTCAACTTATAATTTGTACCTATATGTTATAGGCTATCTAGGTGCATGCTCATATGGAGTGCAACCCCTTAGGTTATATCCCCTTGTACCACCTCAGTCTAATCAATTTTCTACTCCGCTCGCCTGCTTAGGTATCACCTTAGGTTAGCTCCGCTCGCCCGCTTCCGCCCTAGCCCCTAGCGCCCCGCTGGCCCCTTAGCACCCCGCTGGCCCCTTCGCGCTTCGCTGGCCCCTTAGCACCCTGCTGGCCCCGTTTGCGCCCCGCTGGCCCCGTGCGCCCCACTGGCCCCCGTACGCCCCGCTGGTTCCATACGCCCCACTGGCCCCATTCGCCCTGCTGGTCCCGTTCGCGCCCCGCTGGCCCCGTTCGCACCCCGTAAGCCCCGTCGAGCCCCACTAGCCCCGTGCGCCCCGCTGGCCCCGTACGCCCCGCTGGCCCCGTTCGCCCCGCTGGCCCCGTTCGCGCCCCGCTAGCCCCGTACACCCCGTTGGCCCCGTTCGCGCCCCGCTGGCCCCGTACGCCTTGCCAGCCCGGCGCCCGCTGGCCCCGCGCTAGCCAGCCCTGTGCTCGCCGGCTCTCGCGCTTGCTAGCCCCCGCGCTCGCCAGCCCCCCCCCCCCCCCCCCCGCTGGCCCCGCGTTTGCCGGCCCCGCGCTCGCCAGGCCCCAGCTCGCCGGCCCCCAGCTAGCCGGCCCCTAGCTTGCCGGCCCCCGGCTCCACCGGCACCTGCTTCGTCGGCCACAGCCCACACCGGCTCCGCGCCGTGCAACCGCCGCAACGCAGTGCCGCCGTGCCGCTCTGCCGCCCCCGACCTACCGGCCTTGGCTCCTCTCTGCGCCAGCACTCCTGCCGGCTGTCTCCACTGCGCTTCACCGCACTCCATCTCCCTCCACCACACTCCACCGCTCTCCAACGCACTCCACCTCACTCCACCGCTCTCCGCCGCCCTGTCCTCCGCCTTTCCTCCTCTCCCTTCCAGCGGCAGTCACCTGCTGCGGCTGTGGTGATGGCGGACCCAATGCTCAGCCTGGATGCGGAGGGTCGGGCGATCGACTTCGAGGCGTGGCTCGTCGACCTTCGCCGTCACCTTACAGGTCAGCGCCAGGACGGTCACTCCCTGGCTATTCATGTCGATGGTCTGCTTCCCCGCCCCGCTGCGCCTGTTGCCCTCCCTGCTGCTCCCACCACTGCTGAGTGTGAGGCCTTTTCCGCTGCTGCACTTGCTCGTGCTGTCTGGGACTCGCGCGACACCGTCGCACAACTTGCTATCAGCCACGCGCTTCCCCTGTCTGAGCGTCCCCGCATTACCACCGTAGCAAACGCCAAGGAATTCTTAGATGTAGTCATCGCTCGCTATTCCACCATCACCTCAGCCTCTGCTGGCCGCCTGATCCTCCCCATGCTGTTCCCTGATCTTGCATCCTTCCCTACTGTCGGCGATCTTGCCACTCACCTCCTCGCACTTGAGACTAGCTACCGCGCCGCTAGCACTGAGGCTCAGCTCATTGCCACGTGCCTTCTAGACTGCCTAGCCACTGCCCACGACCACTTCCTTAGTCAGCACCCAAGTGACCTCACCCTTACCGCCTTTGTCACCGCCCTGTCCGAGATAGAGACCCGCCAGCGTACTATCGCTCAGTCTAGCGGTACTGCGGCGGTCCATATCTTTCAGGGCTATGCTCCCTCCCAGTGCACTTACTCTGATGTCTCTACAGCTATCATTGAGACAGCCCCTGCCGTTGAGACTACTGCTGCGGCCTCAGCGCAGCCGCGTCAGGGTAGGGGCCGTTGACCCAAGGGGGGGCGTGGAGGAGGGAAGGGTGGTGGGGGTGGTGGGGGTAGGGGGGGTGACGGTGGTTCCGATGAGGGGACTGGGCCTGGTGCCCCGAAGAAGCAGTAGAAGCAGCAATCGCAGCAGCAGTGAGGCCGTCTCTCGACGGGGTGGCCCGGTGCGTCTGGTGGTGGTGGCCGCGGTGGCGGCCCTCGCAGCTCGGCGTTGCCAGTACCAGCTCCAGACCGGCCCCTTCTGCGACACTGTGTATGGTCGTACTAGTCACTCTGCCGCCCGCTACTTCCGCCGCCTTGACGATCTCTTCCGAATCTGCTTCGGCCCTGCGCTGGACCTTCCCGACTAGCCATGTTTGGTGCGTCGCCTTGTGCCTGTCTTTGAGATGGATATGGATCAGCTTTGCTCTGCCGTGCATGCCTTGTATGCTGATGACTCTAGTGTGACCAGACCTTATTACCCTGTGTTTCCTAGTGTAGTTGTGCCTCCTATGTGTATTCTAGGCTCACCTGCTGCGTAAGGCATAGGACCTTCTGCCTTGTTTAGCCTATGCTCCACGCTAGCCCTTCCGCCGGCTGCCGCTACTGCTTCGCTCTCGTTTATGCTTGACTCTGGTGCGTCTGCCTGCTTCTTCAGCGACCATACTGCGCTCACGCCGCTTGCCGCCCCTGCCGCTGTCGCACTTGCTGACCCTTCCTCAGGTCCGGTAGCTGCCCGTAGCTCCACTATCCTTCCCTGTCTGGCGGTTCCCTCGGGCTCCCTTACAGGCCTGCACATCCCCTCGTTCTCTAAGAACCTAGTTGGTGTCGGATGTCTTCAGGACCTCGGCATCACCACTACGTTCCCTGGCCATGAGCGGTACGCGGTCTGTACCGAGGCCGCCATAGGTGCCCCCTCACCACGTTCCCCTGGAACCCGGTTTCTGGCCTGTTTACGCTCGACACCGAGTCCCCCTTGGTGGGGGCGTCCCCCCAGGTGCCTGTGTCTACCCAGGTCGCTGCAGCTTGCTCGTGTCGGTCGCTCACTCACCTGTCGCTTCTGTGGCACCACCGCCTAGGTCACCCCGCACTCCCACGTCTACGTCACATGTCCCAGCATGGTATTCTCATAGGTCTCCCTGCGTCGTTCCTTGCCCTCCCTCCCTCGCTTGTGCCGCCGTGCACGCCCTGCGTCGAGGGCCGGCTGTGCCGTGCTCCTCACTCCTCCTCGCTTCACCCTGCTCCCCCGCCACTCCAGACCCTGCTCCTGGACGTCTGGGGCCCCGCCCCCGTCCCTGGGCCGTGTCGAGTGCGCTACTTTCTAAAGCTTGTCGACGACTACACGCACTACTCCACGGTGTTTCCCCTGGAGCGGAAGGCCGACGTGCCTAACGTTCTTATCCAATGGGTCATAGCTGCGCGCGTCCACCGCGATCTCTCCGTGCTGTGTCTCCACTCCAACCGTGGCGGCGAGTTTGCCTCCGGTTGGCTTGGACAGTTCTGTCGTGCGGAGGGCATCACCCAGTCGTACACCCTGCCAGACTCCCTACAGCAGAATGGGGTCGCTGAGCAACGCATCGGTTTGGTCATGGAGGTGGCTCATACCTCCATGATCCATGCCTGTGCACCCCATTTTCTGTGGCCGTTCGCTGTTCGCTACGCCGCTCACTAGCTTAACCTCTGGCCGCACTCCCAACGGCCGTAGGTTTTGTCGACCCTTTTCTGAATCGGGTTACCTGGTGATGCGTCCGTGTTCCACATCTGGGGCTGTCTTGCTCACGTTCATGCCTCTGGCACGGACAAGCTCACTGCCCGCACTATCCCCGGTGTCTTTTTTGGTTTTCCCCTCGACTCGTCTGACAGGCACTTTTACCACCCGCCGTCTTTCACTCCCGTGACGTCACTTTTGACGAGTCTGTCTCCTTTTTCCACCGCTTTCCCTACCGAGGTCTCTCGGTTTTCCCGCCTCTGTTTCTGGTTCCCACTCCCCCGGTAGCCCCTGACGACTGCTGCTGCGACGATGACTGCTACTGTTGCGGCAGCGGAAGAGACACTGAGGCCGAGGGGGCAAACGCCGGAGCAGCAGGCAGTGGACCCTGAGCCTAAGGGCCCCCAGAGTCAGCAGACTCCTCCGCCGGGCCAACCGAGGGAAGGGGAGTGACATAAGACACACCAGACAGGGCAAGACAGGGAGAGGGAGCTACCGGGGGAGTGGGGACAAGCAACAGGGGCGGGGTAACCGAGAGACCTCGGTGGGGAAAGAAGGTGTAGAAGGACACAGACTCGTCAAATATGACGTCACACGAGTGAAAGAAACAGTGAGACGGCGGGTGGTAGAAGTGCCAGTCAAACATGTCCAGGGGGAAGCCAAGAAAGACATAGGGGACGGTACGGGCAGTAAGATTATACGTGCAAGAGTCGCGGACGTGAGCAACGCAACCCCAGACGTGAAATGTAGACACGTCACCAGTGGACCCGGTGCAAATAAGGGTCGGCGAAACCTGTGGCGGCTGGGAGTGCGGCCATGGGTTAAGCTGGTGAGCGGCGTAGCGCACTGTGAACGGCCATAGAAAATGAGTGCAGCGGCATGGATCATGGAGGTACTAGCCACCTCCATGACCAAACCGATGTGTCGCTCACGGCCAGCAGAGGCGGAGGAGGGAGTGGAATAGCGAGCAATTACTGCATCTAGGAACTCCTGCGCAGTCTCTACGGCCTGAAAGCGCGGACTCTCGGACAGGGGGAGGGCGTGACTGATAGCAAGCTGCGCAACGGTTGACGCGACTCCCAGACCGAGCGGGCTAGCTCATCAGTACTAAAGGCCTCACACAGAAGGTGTGGGGGCATCAGGAAGGGCAGTAGGCACAGGGAGGCAGGTCAGCTTACCATTGACGTGGACGACCAGGGACTGGCCATCCTGGCACTGACCTTTCAGGTGGCGGTGCCGGACGGCGAGCCATGCCTCGAAGTCAACAGCCCGACCCTCAGCGTCCAAGCGAAGAACAGAGCTGCAGCAGCTGCAGGATATAGGAGGCAGAAGTGAGGGGAGCAGTCAGGTGTGGTGGAGTTCGGTGGAGAGCGGTGATGTGCGGTGGAATACGGTGGAGAGCGATGGAGTGCGGTAGGGTGCAGTGGAGTGCGGTAGTGTGTGGTGGAGCATGGTGCGCCGGGCACTTGAGCCGGCGGCGTGTAGGGGCCGGCAATAGGAGCTGGGGCGGCACGGCGAGCTGGGGCCAACGGTGAGCTGGGGCGGCGCGGAGAGCTGAGGACGTCGACGAGCTGGGGCCGGCGGCAAGCTGGGGCCAGCGTCAA